TGTTTATATCTATTTAAATTATATAGTTATATAATTATATAGCTCATCTTTAACACTCTAGGTATAATAATCACAAATATAAAAGAATATACAATATTTATCTCTGCTAAAAATTATAGTCTATATATACACTTTGCTTGTATGAATAAAGGCACATTCAGCATTCAGTTATGTCAGCATACATGTTCTATAGATAATAATAAGATTCTAAATTTTTTAGAACATTTGAAATATATAATTTATAATTTTCTATCTTTTATATGTGAATTTTCACAATATATAATTTTAATTTAACCAATTTCAATTGACTTTTACTTGCCTTTAGTATCTTTAATTATTAATTATATAGAATTTCAAAAATAAATTTGTGCATTTATCAATAAAAGTGAAGTAAAATACTCCATCTTAACTCTTTCTATTAAATTTTAATAAATCTTTTAATTTTAATAGGAAGGAGTATGTCATGCTGGCACGAAAGCTAGCAAAGTAGTATTTCTTGGCAGTTCCGGACGTCTTTTGACTACTGGATTTAGCAGACATTCGGATCGACAATATGCGATATGGAGTCAACATGATCTAACTGTCCCACTAACGTGTGAGACGATAGATTCATCGAGCGGAGTGGTTTTTCCATTTTACGATAATGATACCAACATGGTGTTTTTGGCCGGAAAGGTAAAAATGTAACAACATGTGTAATTCGGACTGTTGTAAAACTCATTGCGTTGTATCATTTTTTGCAGGGTGATGGTAATATTCGATATTATGAAGTAGTTAATGAAGCACCTTGGGTGCATTATCTCAGTCAATTTATATCGGGAAATCCTCAGAGAGGATTGGGAGTAATGCCGAAAAGAGGCATTAATACCTCTTTATGCGAAGTATTCAGATTTTATAAGTTACACGCGACTCGTGGAATGTGTGAGCCGATTTCGATGATAGTACCACGGAAGGCAAGTTTACTTGCATTAATTTTATATTCTTTTCACTTTTTTTAAAAAAGTACATATTGAAGAAAACTATGTTGTAGAGTGATCAATTTCAAGAAGATCTATATCCTGATACAATTGGAACGTGTCCCGCATTATCAGCTAGAGACTGGACCAGCGGCATGAACAGCCCACCAGTCTTAATCTCTCTTAAAACAGGTCCTACATTTTTATACTATATATAAATATACATTGCGAGTGTCGTGCAATCTGTCTCAAATATTGTTTAGATTTTCTCCAAGCTAGAGTTATTTAGTTTACTTGTTTTTATGTATTTTCCATACATACGGTATAGAGTAATAAAATTCTATCGAGCAGTCACATTAATGGATATCATTCTTAGGTGGGAGTATCTCTACGCATAAGCCACGAGTATATAAGCCACAATTACCTGCGACCACTGATCTAAATAATAAAAAGAAATTTGCGTTCCTGTCTACGGAAACGATACCGGATTACAGACCGGTGGAATTACATGATATGTCGGAAAAGAGCCAAAAAACATCCAGCAATCAAAGTACAAAGTTTCAGCAACTTCAGCAGAAGTTTGGAAATGTCACTATACAGGTACGAGCGTAATACATGTATATATACATTGCATTTTTTACATACTTTTTGTATATATTTTATATATCACAAATGTTTTTTTTATCAGAAGAATATTATATCGTCTTCGATTAATGACAATAAAGTTATGGAGACTGTGGATGTTCCAAATAATGAAGCAGAACTTCGTTTGGCATTGGCTCGTCAAACTGACGAATTGAGACTGGTACGACGGCAGCTCGCTAATAGCCAACTGCGTGTTAAGGAATTAGAGGACCAAATACGAAAATTGCAGCGTCAACAGTAAAGTTATAAACTCGCTTCGATATCTGCTTTGAATAAGACCCTTACAACTTTACTACTACACGTGATTATCAATGTCTTGCGCTATGTTTAGCGCCGAGACACTACCATGTCTCCAGATCAATACTTAAAGTTTCTAGAGTTTTTAAGCACCGCTAATAATGATAAAGAGCCTAAGCTTATGAAAACTTTGTACTAACGCTTAGGGGACTTTAGCTTTGTCATATTTATACACAAAGAAATATTCAGAATAATTTTTATTAACTTTTTTTAGAATATCTACAATTTTTATGTAGAATAAAATTGTCACGTTAATCACAAGGGAACAGGAACAGTTAGTTGCATTTGTTACATAAAAATTGTACCTGTTTACGCACTTATACTTAAATGCGTAAGTCGGATATTAAGAAGTTAAGAGAAACACAATACCTTTAGACAAAATGGCAGCGTAAAGGTAATTCGTGGTGTTATCAGTTAAATGACATGCTTTATTTTTTTTTGAAAACGGTATTATATTATACTACTAGTCTGTTAATCAATTGTTTATTTTTTCTATTACTGTTTTTGTATGTTTATTAGTTACTTAATTGACGTATTATTTAATATATTGCTTTATCATTAGAGATATTTCGAAAGACAGTATTTCTTTGCGTATTATCATGATTATTATTGCTTCTATTTGCGTGTAAATTCATCTTTGCAACGCTTAAAATGATTTTTGTTGATCTATTATACAAAGCTGCTATGTCATATATTTATTAGTAGTATGGACTAGCGTGTTAATGTATTAAGCGTGTTAATGCATTTTGCTACCGCAAATATATATTTTTCATCACTGCCATCCACTGCCGTGATGTCGATGGCAATAAGATCTCCAAATCTATGAATGCAGTGATAATATCTAATGTCACGATTAATTAAAAAAAAAATTAGCTTAAAATTCCTTTTTATACAATAAATGCATAATGTAACGTTCGTGCAATTAGCAAAATCATTAAATAATGTACCTATCAATAATGTACTAATCAATGATATATTGAAAACGGTATACATGAATGTATATTTTTAAAGAAACTCGACGTTTAACGCGACTCAATGTTGATATATTCAATGTTGATATGTTCATCTAAGTTAACTTAAGGATGTATTATACACATTTTAAAATAATGAAAATATTATGAAAAAATTATGAATTACTTTAGCATTTAATAAAAGTTTGGCGGCAGTTTAGGATCTGGAGCAAAAATGATTTCAAAAGTAATATTTTTTTACCTTTAATCTAATGGAGATATATGGAAATTGTTCTACAAATAAACAAAATTTGCAAAACAAATAATCTGCACAATGAAACTGCATAAATAATTTTGTATGTTTAAAATATTTGTGCGAAAAATTTAGATTTTTGTTATTTTTTAAACTTTAGTATTATAATAAAAACTAAAAAAAACCTATAAAAAATATTGTTCAATAAAAATAAAATGTTACAAATACAACTTTTATATGTATATCGTTTATTCAAAATATAAGTTAACGCAATTGTAAAAGTGAGTAATACATCCTTAAAGGGGATACAATAGCAAATGTGTTAGAATATTTTACTTTTAGCATTAGTTTTGTAATTTTGAGAATCATACAGAATTATATTTCCGCTTAATAATAATAATCAAGTCGTGTAATCATTTATATATATACATCTACGTTTATATACGTATTTTTCATACAATTGTGCAATTGAACTGGATAAATGTAGTACCTGGATGCTATATTTCACATATCGCTTGTGAGCATAAAATTTCATTATCCGTAAAGTAAGGATTACCTGAAACACTTATGATACACCAATATGTGACGTAGCATTCCCTAGTCTTTCTTTACTAGTTGTTTATTTTATCATCGTCAGTAGCTTTAATTACTCATAAATCAGATATTTCATTGAAATCTTCTTTTAGATATACAACTTTTTCAAGAGCATGAAGTATGTTGCATTAAACAGTGCATTTTGTAGGCGGTAAAGTACATATTGCGAGGTAGTTTGTAGCTATATTTTCGATATTTATATTGCAAGTAATTTCTATGATATTTGTAAGGAGATCATTCATTTTTGTGACAGACGTAACGAATTTATAAATTTTATTACAAATTGTAAATTTACTTCTAATGCAGTATCGTGACAAAATATGCCTGTATCATGATTTATATATATTTATATATGTCAATTAAATATATTACATCGAGATCTCCAACCTAACCACATAATACCGTACATTAAACAGAAAAGTACCAAAGAGCGTCTTATCTCGTAGATTACAGCCCAATTTATTATCAGCGTATGCCTGTTTAAAAGATTTATGTACGAGAATAAAGAAGATGTCAATATATGGCAAGCAGGGATCTCATAAATAAAAATAAAAGGAACTTATAAAATTGAATATATGAAATATTATTAATATATAAAATATTTTATTTGTTTTGGAACTTACGAATAGTAATCAATTTAATTCTTCA